TCTGACTTTTCCCTGAACATCCCCACACCCTACAGGAGCTGCCCCACAACGTGCAGGAGGTCCTGGGCCTGGTCCCGCCCTCTGAGCCCCGCAGCCCCTCACCCCCTGCCTCTCCATTGCCGCTGTCCCCCACCCGGACCCCACCGGCCCCGCCGCTCCCCGCAGACACAGCCCCGCAGCCGGACAGCAGCTTGGAGATACTGCCTGAGGAGGAGGAAGAGGAAGGCACGGACTCCTAACATCCCCGGGCCTGCGGCAGCCTGCCCCGCATAGCACTTTATCTAGCTCCGGCCTCTCCAGGGGCTGGGGCTGGGGCTAGCGGAGAGGGGCGGGGCCTCCCGCCGTGCCGCCTGCGCCCTCCTGATTAGCTGGTTTCATTAACTGACATTTCATGTGTCCAGCTGGCCTCGTGAAGAGGGAGGAAAGAGGCTGCCAGTTGTCTTGAACCTGGATGGGGAAGGGGTGGTTTGTGGTCCCCTCCGACCACTGCAGAACAGGTGTCTGGCCACGTAACCCTGACCAGGGCAATGAGACGTAAGAGGAGGTCCCTTGGGGGTGAGGGGGTGGGGCTTGTGGAGGCAAGGCTCCCTTAACTGCCTGAGTTTGGGACTTTTGGAAGAGTGAGGATGGGGTGCTGGAGTGCGGCTGCTACCTAGCAGCTGTGCGGGGACACATCCCGGACATAACCGAGATGGAAGGGCCTGCAGAGCTGCTCAAACACTCTGGTGACCCTGCCTACCAGCTTCTTGTTACGTGAGAAAAATAAACTTGTGTTTAACCCATTGTCGGTCGGGTTTTCTGTTGCTTGCATCAGGCCCCATCTGTGTCGTGACAGTTGGGACGGGCACTGTGATTACCATTAACCAGTGGTGCAAAGCAGTGTCCATCCTCACCCAGTGAAGCCCCGCTGCCCTGGCGGAAGTAGGACAGCTTCTGGGACTCCAGGATAGGCACAGCCCCTTCTACGGTGAGGGCTAATGCTTTGCTCCAAGCAAATTGGGGAAGCGACTGAGCCAGGGAGGGGCCAGGATCACATGACTTTTTTGAAAATAGTTTAATACTGGGTCCTCTTGTGGGGAGTGTGCGAATCAGTCATATGTAGGGCTGGAGGGTGGGTGGCCTCCCCCTTTTCGGATCCGCACAGTGGCTGGCTGGGCACAGGTGCCTCCTCCATGCCAGCACTCCCCTCCTGGTTGTGGATCTGGTTGTTGATCAACACAGCGGCACGCAGCGCCGACTTGACAGCAGTCTCCACCCAGCCATGCGGGTAGGCCGTGTGCTCCCCTGCGAAGTAGATGCGACCGTGGGGGACCGCCCAGTTGAACTCCTGCCTATCGTCTTTGTCAGCTTGCCAGAGTTTTGGCGGCTGCACCACGAAGCCGCCTTGGCTATACGGGTCCTCCGCCCAGCGCTTGACGACGCCGCTGCCGTCCCAAAGCCGGTACACAATCGGCCCGTGCAGCGCCGCCACATCGTCGAGTGCCAAGCGCAGCGTCTCTTTCAGAGTCAGGCCCGCAAACGCGGACGACGCGTCCGACCACGTGTACGAGGCCAGCAGAAGCGCGCCCTCTCCCGGCGGCGGGTAGAATATCATGCGCGATGGGCGGTCGGTGTTCGAGTGGCCTCCCTTGATGTGCTCGTCGTGCCAAAAGGGACGGCGGAAACTCAGGAACACCTTGGTGGCAGGTACGTAGTGTAGCGCGCGCAGAGCTTCTTGCCGCTTCCACGACAGCGGAGGCGAGAATTTCATGCGCTGCAGCGCCGGCCCGCTCGCCGTCAGCAGCACCACGTCGGCGGCCAAGGTCTGTTCCTGAAGTGCGGTCCCTGTGTGCACGCGCACCTCGTGCGTTTCCTGCGTCAACGCCACGACGGGCGTGTGCAACAGCACAGGCCCCGACAGCGAGCTCAGCAGCGCGCGCGGCAGCAGGTCCCAGCCACCCACGATGCGGCTGTACCTGTGGGCGGGGCGGGTACGTGACCTGGGCTCTCGGGCCCTGCCCCTTTCCGCTGGCCCCTCCCTGGGTACTCCCTGGTACCAGTTCTAGTTTTCACCTGCCCGGTTCCTTCTAATCCCGCCCCTTCCCGCAGGCCCCGCCCACTCCGTTACTGGCCCATAATTAAAGCTTGCCTGAGTCCCGCAAACCCTGCCCATTCATCTACCTAGGCCCTGTTTTCTCCCTGACGTCCCCCAAGGACCGTGGGGCAGAAAATTGTGTGACCCAGGAACCCCGCCTCTTCTCTTCTGGGCCACGCCCTTCTCCAAGAGCCTTTCTTATCCAGTTCCTCCCAACGATCCGGGATGCCGGGCCGAGTGCGGCCAGATCCTAGCGCCCTGTCTCTCCGCCCCTTTGGCCTCTGCTCTCTGCAAGCCGCGCCCTTCTTGCCAGTCCCATCCAATAGCGGTGGCCCCACGCACTATTACTCTCCCCGATTGGCCCTCTCAGGCTCCTCCCCTTCCCACAGGCCCCGCCCCTCACCGGAGCCGGTCGCTGAGGCAGCTGTGGGCCCGCAAGGCCTCTGCAAAACTAAGGTAGAAGAAGCCATCCTCGGACATTACGTCTCCCAGGAGTTGCGCGGCGGCCTGGCTCAGGCTCCCCTCCCCGAGGAGGTATTCCTGGGGGACGAAAGCGGACCCGGTCAGGGCCAGGCAGGCTGCACCTGCCGGCTCCATTCCCACAGGGCGCCTCCTCCCAGGCTGAGCCTCCCGTACCGTAGCACGACAGTGAGCTTAGTATGGTTCTCTGGACCTTAGCGATCCTGTCCCCCTCTCGTGACAGATGAGATAACTGAAGCCCAGAGAGGGGAGAGGGATGTCCAGCCCCAGGGTCAAGCAGGGAGGCTGTGTCATGCCTGGGGTCACTGATGCCCAGGCCAAAGCCCAGGGCACCCTCATTGTCCTGGCTCCTCAGACAGCAACACGAAGGCCCCCACTCACCAGGAGCGTGTGCCTTTCAAACTTATTCATTGCCTTTCTGCAGCCCAGCGTCTCGAGATCTTTGAGGGCCTGCAGTGGAACAAGCAGATGGCGCTGAGCTGTGGGGGCAGGATCGCAGAGGTCAGGCCTGGGGTTCCAACCTGGGTTCTCTTCCTGCTCCTGCCCATGGCCGGCCATTGACCACTCTCGTTCAAGCGGCCAGGCCTTTGCCCATGCTGTACGCTCAGCCTTGCCCTCTACTGCTACTCAGATGTTGCCACTCTGGGAAGTCTTCCTGAGTCGTTAATGCTCCCCGTTGTCCTGCCCACCTGGACACTGCCACATCCATCCCCATTGGGTGCTGCTTTGCCTGTATATGTCCTAGGCTGTGAGCTCTGTGCAGGCAGGGATTGGGTCTGTCTCAGTGCTGTGTCCTTCTGGTGCCCAGTAATTGTTTCTCACCTGGATCATCATGGGCACAGACAGAATTGGAGTCCCTTCTGCCACTCATCAGCTAGACAGGGCATGACTGCTGAGGGGGTTTATTCACAAGCTCTCCACTGTCCACAGTCCTGTGGCTCTCCAGCACCTGGAGCCACAGAGTTCTAGCCCCTCATCCTGACATTCGAGGCCCCTTTCGGCCCCTCGGTCACCATCTTTTAAGGCAGCTTCGGTCCTGCAGTACAATATCCAGTGCTCAGACCACCCTCAGGTCTCCCCCACCTCCACATCCATGCCCTTGTCCCCCTGCCTCATCTCTGTCATCTTTTGCCACTCTGTTCAAGTCTCATTCCCTCACTGCCCCATCTGATTTCAGCCCTCTTCTTTGTCAACCGGGCTTCCCCCTCATGGCCGGGGGAGCTCCCTAAAGTATGTGCCCCTCCACTCACCATTCACTCACCATTCACCTCTCATTTCCCTAGGCTCCCTGAACTAGGAAGTATCAAGGCACAGAAATGGCCCACCCTTGTCCAGGACGGGAGATGGATGATTAGAAGCTCCCAGAGGAGTACGAGTCTGGTCTTCCCTGAGGGCATCAGGGAAGGCTTCCTGGAGGGGGGAACATGGGAGCTGGTTCTTGAGGGATGAGCAGGGTTCCCTGGGTGGGAAAGGGAAAGGGTCATACGAGCATGGCAGGCAGCAGGACAAGGGCATGCGAGAATCGACATTGGGAGTCTAGAGCCATGCGTGTTTAGGCCACCATGAGGGCTTTGTGGGGGTAACAAAAACTTCTTGGAGGAGAGAAGATAAGGCTAAAGGGGTGGGAGAGACCAGACCACCCAGGGCTTGAACCTGAAGCTGAGGCACTGGGAGCCACAGTGGGTGGAGGGCTGTGAGCAGGGGAGGGGAAGTGTGAGGATCCAAGGAAGAGGATGAGGCCTGAATTGGGGCTGAGGCTGTGGGGACAGAGAGGTGGGAACATTGCAAGGGTCAGAGGGCAGGAAGGATTCAGCTGGGGACTGATGGTGGGAGGCGAGGTAGACAGTGAGGATGGCAGCTGGGTGTCTGCCTTGTGACTGGGGGTTGACAGGGCCATTGTGAGATGGGGGAACCCGGGAGTATGAGTGGATTTAGGGGAAGGTACTGAGCTCAGTGGGAGCTGGAGGGTCCTCAGGGTGGCCGAGGGGAGACAGATGTAGGTGTGGGTCTCAGGAGATACATCTACCTACAGACCAAAGTTTAAGCCAAAGCTGTAGAAAGGCGACTTTGTCCAGGACAGTGTGTGGGTGAGAAGAGAATCAGAGACCAAAGGCTGATGGAGCTTTGGGGATCAACAGAGTTTACAGGAAAACTAAAGATGGAAGAGCGGGCAATGAGAAACCGGAAGGCATGAGAGAGAGAAGGAAAGCCAGGCCAGGGAGGAGGCTGGCGATGGTCTGGAGACAGGATGAGGGGATACGGGACAGAACAGGGGCAGGAGGGCAGGGCTGCAAGACTGGCCGGGGTGCCTACCCTGTTGAGAGCCATCTGGTAGATTTCCTCAGGCGCGTGGCCCTTTTCCCTGGGGCAGAGTTTGTAGCCCAGTTTCTCCGGCATCCTCTCCACCACGTAATTTCGCAGCTTCACGTCCCTCACTTTCGTCCACGTGTTCTCGTCATACTGGGTGAATTTGGTCAAGTTGAGTCTCAGGCTCTTGCAGAGCTTGTGGAGGATCCTGCGGGAGCGGGCGAGGCTGGTGAGGGGGTTGGAGTAGGGGACCCCTCTCCCCACAGGGCTTGGAGAAGGGAGGGGGGTGGGTAGGGCAGCTGGGGATGAGGTTTGGGGATGGGCATGCGGCTGGGGTGGGGCTAGATTTGGGGCCATCAGGGCTGGGGACGGGAATGAAATAGGAACAAGGTTGGAAGGCTGAGGGCAGTACCGGCAGGACTGGGTTTGCAGTGGAAGTTGGTTCTCACTGGGGTTGGATGGAGGCTTGGTAATGGACCAGGCTAGCTGGGGGCCCAGAGGGGCTGGGCAGGGCTAGCTGGGGGTGCAGCTGGACTTGGTGGCCTGAGCACTTCAGGGATACAGTGCTAGGGCTGGGATTAGGAAGAGGACAGAGCTGGAGGCTGGGTTTTGACCTGAGTTGACTGGGGGGACAGTTTGGGGTCAGACTTGAAGTTCGGCTGGCGCTGGAGTGGGATTGAGTTGGGGATCTGGTTGAGTCTGGGCACAGAGTAGTGGCCCGCCTGGTGCCAGGTCAGGCCTCACCTGTGTGAGCTGGGCATGCGCATGGCTCCCAGCTCCCCAATCCAGCCTGTCTTCTGGTCCCGGTAGGTGAGGATGCGGCCCCCGATTCTGCTGTCTGCCTCCAGGACGGTGACCTGAGGGATCGAGGGCATCGAGCAGGGCCCTTCAGCTCCTCCCACTGATCCCCAATTTCACCCTGTGCCCGTCCCCCATGTTCCATCTCCACAGCAGCACAGACCTAGACTAGACAAGAGGAGGCGGGAGGGGCTGGTAGGAGAACAGAACATCATAGCAAGCATGTACAATATAGCAATTTCCATTCTGCAGCAGGAAGGCTGCCGGCCAGATTACAGAGGGACTTCCCAGCTCAGGGAAGGGGAAATTCCTCATATGTACAGAAGGCCCTGGCCTGACCCATTCTCACTCTTGGGATTTCAGTGAGAGGGACAGTGGTTAGATCTCGGGGCAGTTCCCCCTTGGTGGAGTGTCCATCTCCACCAACACAAATCCCCCCCGGGAAAGTTGGAGGAAGTTTCCAGGGACTTCCCCCAAGATGAGAGAGAGTGGGGCAGGGAAAGGCAAAGGCCTCTCAGTGCAGACACACGTTCCCTCTGGGTTTCACAAAAGAGCAGGGGTTTCAGCCTCATTCCTAGACCGTGGGGGAAAGCGTAGCTCCCTCTCTCCACCTCCCACCATTCCCAACCTTCAACAGCTGCAGCAGGAGAGACTCAAAGTAGACTGCAAGCAAAGCAGCACTTCTCACCTTGTGTCCGGCATCACTGAGCACCTTGGCGGCCACCAGCCCGGCCACACCAGCACCAACCACAATCACTCTCTGGGGCTTCGAGGTCCGATTAAGGCCCAAGGTCACAACCTTGAACAGCTGCTCATAGTCAGGATCCTGCATGCATTTCTCGAAGGGGTCCTGGCTGTGGGCAGTCTTCCTGTCCAGGGAGGCCACCAGGATGAGGATAGGGACCCAGGTGAGGAGGCGCCAGGCTGGAGGGGGGCGGGGCGGGGGAAGAGGACAAGATCAGTGGATACGTAGGGGAAGAAAAGTGGCTCCCCCCACCTGCCGCCCCAGGGACCTCTCCCCTGCTTACTTACCCAGTGTGGCCATGACTCTCGCTGGGAGGTGGTGTCTGGATTGGAGGGGAAGCAAGGGCCATTGTGACAGGGGCCTGGGTCCCACCCTAGCCTGACACCCTGTGGGGCTGCCCAGCTGCCACCTCAGCCCTCGCCCCTGTGGCCATCACTTTCTCAGATCATGTGTCCCCTGACCCCCAGCCTATCTGCCCTCCTCGCCCCCTCCCTGCATCCCTCTCCCTTCTCTGCCTCCTTGTGTGTTTCCCTGTTTCTCCTCTCCCCTTGTCTCCTTATCTCCCAGTCTCTCTTTCTGTGGGTCCCCGGCTCTCCACAGCTTCCTTTCTACCTTGGCTCTTGGCGAAAGCCAGCACCTCCTCTCTCCTCAGTCCCCTCCGCCAGTCTGCCCGGTCCCCCTTTCTCTGTCCTTAAAACAGCCTAGCCCCGCCCTCCCCTCCCTTCGGGAAATTGGGCTGCGGGGAAATGAAACTGCTTTCCTGGCTTGCAGGGTCAGATGCTCAGAGTCAAGTTGAGACTGGAGGATGAGGCTGGTGGGGCAGAGTGGGTCAGGAGGAAGCAGATGAGTCTATTTTCTTCCTCTTGCCCCAAATAGTTCTAGGGGGGTTGGATGGCCAGAAATAAATGCTTAGATAACAATGCTAAAGGTGGGGGCTGCCCTGGCCTGTCCTGAGCCCCTGGTGGCAGGGTCCATGTGTCTGCTCTCTCCTGTGCTCTCTCTGCTTCCTTAACTCTCCGGCAGGGGGAGAAGGGGTCTCTAGCCTTGGGGCTGCATGTTCCCTGTGACAGCGTCTGTCCCTCTCTGTATCAGCTGTTGCTGTGCCCTTGAAGGGCCCTTGCTGGCTTCACTCCCCTCCCACATGGCCGCTGAGCCTCAGTTTCCCCTTCCGTGAAATGGGTGGCACAGTGGGGATTTGAGCAGCACAGTGGTCAGAGGCAAGGCTCTGGGCCAGCCTGCCTGGGTTCTGAGCCTAGCGCCTGTCAGCCAGGGGACTTTGAGCAAAGACCGTCCCTTCTGTGGCTCCGTCTACGGCTGTCAAGTGGGGGCCATTACAACGTTGGGAGGATTCGGTGAATCCAGGTCAGGCCTTGGGACCAGCATCCGGGTCAGTACCAGAATCTGCTCCTCGGGGAATGTCAGCTGCTGCCATCATGGAAGTGTTAAGGGGGCCGCAGTGAATGCCCCTCACCCCCTGCCCTGCAGGAGCGGCCCAGGATGTGTGCTTTCCCCAGCCCTCCCCACCCCTGCATAGAGAACCGCTGTGGTGCTCAGCCCCAGATTACAGCGTTGGAGGCACCTCAGAGAAATGGCCCAGGAGCTGTTCCTCTCTGCCTTTGGCCTTTGTCACTCCCATCTCTGGGGCAGTTTTCTCCTGAGGGGCAGACAGCAGGCAGTGAGAACAAGATGACTGAGCTATAAGGAGTCCCCACATGGGGCAGCAGAGGTCCCACGGTTTTGGGGGCTTTAGCCAAGGGGACACATGGCAGGTCTCCTGAAGTAGGTAGGGGTAGAGAGACGATTTGGGGGATTTGGGGGAGGAGTTGTGGGTGAGGGCTCCAGGCGGTGGGTGAGGAGAAAAGGCAGAGGGTGGCAGATTCTCTGCAGCAACAGAATGGGAAAATCCAAACAGTAAATCAAAGAGGGATGTGGTTTGATGGAGGGTAGCGAGGTGGCGGGGTGCAGCGAGTGAGTCAGAAAACATATGATGCAGGGGTGGGGCAGGAAGGCAGTAGCCAAGAAGGAAACAAAATGAGTGAGCTGGACAGAGCTCGGAGACCGAAAGCAAAGGCGCAAATCAGTAAAACACAGCAGGGAGAGGGACTGTCATTGACGGCACCGGCTCTGAGGTGGCCCTGGGTGGGCTCGGTGCTTGGTCGTCACTGCGGACCTCACAGTGCTGTATTTAACAAAGGAGGAAACAGGCTCAGAGATGGCCAGTGAGTGGGCAGGGGAAGACCCCAGGACTTGTCCAAGACCTCAGAGCGGGGAGACCTTCTCACTCAGTGATGCAGAAAATGAGTGCCACCAGGTGATGACCTCATGCACAGCAGCAGCAGCAGCAGCAGCAGCAGCTGTACCTGGCACATGGATTCTCTAATCCCAGACACCTGTGAGGGAGGGGAAGGCATGTTCCCTGGGTCCCACAGCGAGAATCAGCAGGTGTCCATGGCACAGAGGCCCCGGTGCTCTGCAGCCTCATGGCAAAGTCTCACACAAAGGAAGCAGAAATAACATGGAAGCGAGAAGGGGTGGATACAGCAGAGTCCAGAGGCTCCCAGCGTCTGTCTGGGCAAGGAGCATTGGTCCCCAGAGCAGCTGGAGAGGCGAGGGGCTGTTGGGGTCCCTGACTCAACCCCCTGGTCTCTGCCCACACAGGATTGCTGTTCAAAGTCCCCCTGCTTCTGGGCACAACCTCAGCTCACCTGGACTCGAAGGAAAAGAAGTGGAGTGCTGGCCTCCCCCCAGGATATCTGTTCAAGGAGTCAGCGGAGGACAGGGAGGGAGGGAGAAGCTGGACTCACAGAGGCTGAGCAGAATCTGGAGGCAGCCTCTGATGAGAGAGGAGGAATCCTAGCGGGGCAAGGCCTGAACAATCAATCCCCTTGCTACTGATACAATGGCTGTGGGTGCTGTTCAGTCCCACGTGCCAGACAGGTTTTGGATTTGCTTTCATTTACTCCAGGAATAACTGTGACAAGGGAGGCTCAGCTGTCCCCATTTTACAGTGGAGAAAACAGGCCCAGAAAGTCACCAGCTGTTTGATCCCAGCAGCCTGGTCCAGGCCTGTTCTCAACCATCCTGCGATTAGCAACAAGCTCAGGCTTGTGGATGAGGGATGGGCCCAAGGTAGGGACTCTCCACCTCGACACTTGCCATTTGGGGCCATCTTTTGGGGGAGAGGGGCTCGTGTACTGTAGGATGTTGAGCAGCATCACTGGCCTCTACCCACTAGATGCCAGTAGCACTTGCCCCTCAAGGTGTGACAAACACAAATATCTCCAGACATTACCAACCATTTCTGGGGAAAGGGAGGCAAATCGCCCTGGTTGAGTACCACTGGGTTAGGGTTTGGCTGATGCCGGGTGGAGCTCCCGAGAGACCAGGTATGGTCCAGGATGGAGACCTGGATACAGTGGGCAGGAAGGCCACATAGAAGAGATTGTCTTGGGTTTATGAGTCATTTGGGGCCTGCTTTGGCAGAAGTAACTGCCTCCGAGTCATTCCTGATAATACTAAGGAGGTTGGTGCTAAGGTTAAATTCAGGGATGGATTTGGGTGGAATGGCTCAGGAAAAAGAGGGTTTGGATTAGGTTAGGTTTCCTAGGCTTCTGGGTAGGAGGTACAGGACACAGTGAGAATCGGGGGTGTGGGTACATGGGAGGAAAGGCCTGGGCTTTCCAACCAATCAAATATGTTGGCTTCAGTTGATTCTGGGACAGTCTGGTTTCATGATGTATTTTCTAGAAAACAATGTCAATCCTTCCAAATAAAAATTGTCTTGAGGGAGAAAACCCTGCCCTATCTGGTTTGCTTCTAGGACCATAGTGACAGTTCTAATGGGGTTTAGGTCTAGTCCCGAAGCAGCGAGACCTGGCCTGGTCCCCCTGGGGGCCTCTGTGGCCCATCTGGGCAGCTGATAGTGATGGTGGCCACACAGATGTGCAAGGGACAGGGATAGTACCTTATGTATATTCTTTTCTCTGAGTTGGTCCAAAGACCCTGAATGCTTGATATCAACACTTTGACGGAGTCTCAGAGGGGGCAGAGCCTGCCTAGGGTATGCCCAGGGCCCCAGGCAGAAGCCAGGGGTCCAGATCGTGATGAAGGGCGCAAAACGCAGACAGAATTACTGAGGCCCTGATATCTGTCCAGACCCCTAGACAGGGGCCCCCTTCCTCCAGAGCTGTTCTGTCCCTCCTTCCCATTTCCAGAAACCCCAGGCCCCAGGAGGGGACACTCACTGCATGGTTGGCTCTGGGGGGCTCTCTCAGTGCCCATGGCCCTTCAGATTAGCCCGGGACAGAAGTCATCGTCGGGCATGTGCGAAACCCGGGTGAATGGTGGTGGCTTTGTCCTGATTGTCTTGTTAGGCCACAGGTGCCAGGGTCCTGGTGTGGGGCCAGGGCGGTTGGGAGGCAGTGGACAGGCTCTCCCTTCTCAAAGGGAGACAGTCGTTTGAGGGTTTCTTTGAGATTAAAAGAAAAGCCATAACCATAAAGCCAATCGCCACTCTTATCCCTAACGAGGGAGAAGAAATGCAATAACAGCTTACTGAGGAGAGATTCACCTTTAATTAATGAAGAGGAACTTTAGAGGCCATTTGTCTGGACTGGCAAGGAAGCACATCTGTTTTCTTCCTGGAAAGGAAAGTGCAGTTACAATGGAGCCGTCATCCGCAGGGTGGTACCCAGTCCATTGCTGACCCTGCTGCAATCTTGGGGGCCCCTCTGACTCCTCCAGGAAGCCTACTGGGGCCATTTCCCCTCATGGTGCCAGAGCACCATAGCCAGCCCTCCCACGTGGCCATTGTCCTGGTTTATAGTTGCATGTGTTCTTCAGAGTGGAGTGCCCAAGATGCCTTGTGGGTGTGGAAAGAAAATACTAGAACTTCAACTTGTTTTTATTTTAAAAATAACAACTGCAAGAAAGCAGTTAAGCTTTACTGATAATATGGAAAATATTATATACATTGGAAATGCCAAGCTCAAGGAATATTTTCTTCTTATATCAATTGTGTGGCCCCTGCCAGCAACCTGAGGACAAAGAAACATCGTTTCATTTTTGTAACCCCAAATGGCAGATCAGGGTCTGGTATGCAGCAGGGGCTCCCAAAATGGATGTTGAATAAGTGCAGGTAAAATACAAACTACTCTCTACTTTCTAGTGGACTCGAGGTTTCCCTTCGGGTGGAGGGGTCAGACATGAGTTGCAGAGGAAGTCATGGCTCACAGATTGCAGTGGGCCACTGCCGAGGGCGGTGGAGCTTTCTGAAAAGCAATTGGGGTTGAAGGGGTCCCCCTCCTCTCATTTATTCCCCTCCCTCTTCTGTGGCTTGGACGAGACACTTGTCCTTGGGGGCTCAAGGTAGTCAACGGAAATGAATGACTCATGATCACAACTTTGGGGAAAATGGACCATAAATCTCCAGAAACAAGCTTTTCGCACTCCTTAGCCAAAATGTGGCTTAGCGTGGCACAGGCTGAGGGAGGCTGAAGGGGCAGACTCCGCCCCGCAGGAGCATGGCCCCAGTGCTTGGTGTCATTCACGCCCACGGGAGCTGGGAGCAGAGGTACGACAGGCTGGTATCTGGATGTCCAATACAAATCCACAGCCCAGTGTACCTGTTTTCGACTGTTGAATGCAACCAGAACCCTCCAGCTAGCCCCAGGTAACCATGAGAGGAATGCTGGGGACAATTGTGGCCCTGAGTTACTGCCTTAGGGACGGTGACAGATGACATTTGTGTGCATTGTAAGATATAACCCATAATGTGACCTCTAACAGGTTCTCCCACGTGTCCCTCTTTGCCATCAGCACCAGAGGAACCACAGCATGTGCACGCATGCGCATGTGTGTGTGTGTGTACACGTATGAATGCCTAAACAATGTACTGTTTCGTTTTGCTCGTTTCTGAGTTCCAGACAGCATCCCACTTGACAACCTTCTGGAACTTGCTCTTTGTACCCAGCCTTCTCCTTCTAAGTTACCTACATTAACAGCAGCTTTGTTTGTTCCACAATAAATTTTATTTCATTCAGGAAAGCGAGATACAGTCCTAGGCATTTCAGAGTGCAGCAAAGTGGAAAGACAAATATGAAAGACACCTGATGTCCATGTAATTGACCAGGTTTACTTTAGCACTGCCAAGTTCAGAGCCAAGTCCGTGGCTGCCATGGCCATTTCAGCAGGCATTCTATGGATTGTTTTACGGCGGATTTCATCTCTGTTGTTCATTCCATAAATGTGACAGGGATTGTGCTGAGGACACAAAGGGGAACAAGAAACACTTGCTGCCCACAGGGGCTCACAATCTACCGGTGAGGCAGAGAGAAGTAAACAGTCGGCATAATACAGTGTGGCCAAAGCATTACCAAAGGTGCAAGCTCAGTGTGGTGAGGGGGCTGCAGGATGGCCATATGACACAGCTGTGGGGTGGCCAGGGGGAGGCCTAAGATAAGGAGACCGGAGGACAAGGAGGCGTGTCTGGCAGGCAACGTGAAGGCCCCTTGGCTCACGTCTGACCCTTTTTCCAACACCCCGTTCAAATCTCTCATCTGACCTGTCTCCTGTGGAATTCTCCATCTCACGGTCTGTTCTAGTCACAAGTCACTTTGCATGGGGGGTTAATTTCTACATGGACATCTCTCCCACTATGCTGCTGTATCCCCAAAGACAGAGTCTTGCACTGCACCTATGCCTGCGTTGGACAGAGGCCAACCAGGGAGCCCTGCGAGGGAGACTGATGGCTTTCAGCGCTTGGCTGGAGGGAGCAGGATGGGGTGGGCGGTTGCAGCAGGAGAAAGGGTCTGGGATACACAAAAGATACACAGAGAAAGCACTCCTCTTAGGCTGCCGCCCCAACCAGGGTGTTAAGATGATTTCTACTTACTAATGCGAAAAGTCTAACCACAGAACAGTTCTCTCAACAGCACAACTGTTTGAAAGGAATAGACGAGTATTTCATGGCAAACAAAAACTATAGACAATGATGACTGCACACCCCGCTGAGTAGCCGGGGCTCCGCGGCAGGGGCTCAGTCGAACGTGATGCGGAAACTGCGCTCCTGCTCCTTGCGCCGCCCCTCGCACCGCCGGCTTGCCTCCTCCACCTTCCTCTGCAGCAGGGCGGAGTTCTGGTCGACCCACTGCAATGAGTCCATGTGCGCGTTCAGGATCTTGCATATCTGCTGCAGTGGGTCGCTGCTGTCGGCAGGGCCGCCGGCTGTGTTCAGGTGCTCGATGACGTCCTTGAGGTCCTGTGCCATGCGCTTCAGCTGCGCATCGATGTTCTCGGCGAGCTTGTAGGTCTTCTCGCGCTCCTCATCCGCGTGCTGCAGGTAGACGGTCCCGCTCTGCTCCTTGACGGACTCCTCCAGCGGACTCAGCAGGTCTTCCAGCTCCTTCTGCTGAGACAGGATGAAATCCAGCTCCTGATCCAGCCTCTTCTGGTCCAGCTTCACCTTCTCCACTTCACGGTGGAGGCTGGTGATCTTCTCCCCATTCTCAATCAGTGTGCGGTCCCAGGCGTTGACCTGCGTGGCCTGCTGCAGGAAGTGCCGCTCCTGGTCCTCCAGCTCCAGGCTCCACTTGTTGATCAGACTCTCCAGCTGGGCGTAGGTCATCACAGGGCTGGAGGACACCCCGGTGGCTGCACCTGGGCCGGTGGGAGCGGTTATGGCGGACGGTGCATTGCTAGAGATCCCAGCTGGTGCTAAGGGTTTTAGATTCAAGGCAAAGCTGGAGGTGGAGGTGGATGTGGTGGTGGTGGTAGACGTGACTATGGACGTGGCAGAAGCTGCTCCAGGAGCCTTTAAGCTGAAGCTCAGTGTTCCAGCCCCTGACGTGCCAGCTGTGGTTGCTGGGGTACCAAGGGAGAGGCCGGTGCTGGTGGACGAGGTTGGAGCAGTGGCTAGTGAGGCAAAGAGGGTGGGCCCAGCACTGGTGGTGGCAGCAGTGGGTGTGGGAGCAGCTGGCTGTGTGGCTCCCGCTCCAGTAGCTGCCGGTGTGGCTGGAGTGAAGGACAACCCGGCAAGTGTTGTGGGCTGGGCCGAACTCCCCATCGACCCAATACTGAAACTGGAGGTCCCCCCACTCTGGGACGTGCTTCCACCTGTGAATGAGAAGCCCCCAGGTGTGGTGGATGGAGCAGCAGAGGTGGTGGTGGAGCCGAACACAAAGCCAGCAGGGGCTGTGCCCTGGCTGGAGGTGACGGTGCTTGAGATGGCATTGGTGAGGGTGCTGCTGCCGAGCCCAAAGCCGCTGGGCTGCGCTGGGGCCGGGGCAGCAGCTGTGCTGCTCAAGTTTAGCTTTGGAGCGTTGAGCCCTAAGGAAAATCCAGTTCCTCCAGCAGCAGTTGTGCTTCCAAAACTGAATCCTGGGGTCTGTGTCGCTGGCGCTTGGGTGTTAAGTGAGAATAGGTTGGTAGAAGAGGTACTCACAGCTGGTTGGGAGGGAGTCCCAAAACTAAACCCACCAGTGCTAGGCGTAGAGAAAGAAAACCCGGTGGCAGGGGTGGTTGTTGCTGTCTTTGCAGTGCCAAATGTGAACCCGCCTGTGGGGGCCCCAGTGCCTCCAAAATTAAACCCGCTCATGGCTCCAGACTCTGGTGGCAGCAGCTACTCCGGCTCCCAAAGCAAATCCGTCAGCGTCTGCAACCTTGGGAAGATTTTTAAAGCAGAGGGAGTGACATGATCAGATGGCAGCTTCGGAAAGGTAACCTCAGCGTCATGATGGAGTGCGGTTTTGGAGGGTGGCGGGACTGCACAGCTAGAACATGTGGCCACCCTCTTCCTGCCATGGGACCTAACCAGGCCCTGCTAAACTAGGACAGGTGGCGGGGGTGGGGGTGGGGAGGAGGGGTTCAGGCGCTAGCAGCCCCATGTGCTTCGGGCTGCATGGCCACGTTCAGCACATTTGAGAGCCCCGTTGCCTTGGGGGAGGAGGCCCACAAGCAGGCACCTGAACTCGGACCTCGGCCCGAGGAGGAAGCCAGATTCGAGGCGTTACTGGGACGCAAGACTAGAAGTACACAAAATAACACCTTTAGAAGCTGCTCCCTGCGTTTCCCTGCTGACTAGGAGGGTAGAGGACACACCCTTATGGACCTCAGAGACGGGCCCCAGAAAGCTGAGCTGTATGGCAGGGCCTTGGGCCCCGAAGGCCCCATCGTGCATACCCCTCACCATTTAGGAGGGAGGGCATGTTGGAGCATCCCCCCACCCTCCAACTCAGGGGTGGGCGTGGGACCCAAGTGCTCAATCAGAGTGCTGGGAGGCAGAGCCCCTGACAGAGTGATTGAGTCAAGGAGACCTGGAAACCTGAGTCAGCCAACCAGAGACTCCTCTAGGATTTGTCCCCAGGCACTCCAGAGCAAGTGTCCTCCTTCATCTGCAAATGCAGGGCAGAGGATGTGTACCTGGGGTACCCCCTCCCCCATCCTCTCAGCCACCTGCATCGGGAGACAATGAGCCAGCCACCAGAAAGAACAGGGGGGGGGGCGGGGGGGAAGGGAGAGAAAGCATGAGCGCCCAGAAGGATCCAGTCATGTTTCCAGCCCCGCTCCACCTTACCCAGAAGCTCTATGAGCCAGCACAACCCGTTCAGTTCAAACTGACTGGATTTCTGTAATTTCTAAATAAAAAAGCCCCAAGCAGAACCATCTGTTAGCTGGAAAGCCAAAGGTTACTTGATGAGGAACAAGTCAGAGGGTGCAGGGATAGAGGTGTTTGCAGTAACTGGTCATAGCTGAGCATCCATGACACCCCCTGTGAGGTGGGCTTGGGAGAAACATGGCTGCTCACGGATTTGTCCCCAGGCACTCCAGAGCAGGTGACCTCCTTCATCTGCAAATGCAGGGCAGAGGATGTGTACCTGGGGCATACCTGGGGCACCCCTCCCCCATCCTCTCAGCAGGGGTTCTGACTCCATGTCCGAGATGAGAAAACTGGGGCTCTGATGCTGTGGCCATCTATCCAGGGTCACCCAGCTAGCCAGGGTGGAGCCAGGGGATGACCCCAGGCCTCAGGCCTGCTGACTTCCTGCTGGCCTTGCCAGCATGGGCACCGGATCCAGGGCATTTCCCTCCCTGCACCCAATTAGGGGACTGAGTCGATAACAGACATAAGTGAAGATATGCATGCATATGTCCACTGAAATGGCCTCTGGTAATACACAAGAGATGTAAGAAATTACCACAAAGGGACCGAAGCAGAATGCAAATTTACCAGTGCAATGTGAACTCAGCTGTGGAAAACAGAACTATGAAGAAAATTCCAGAGCAGGAAGGAAATGCACCGAGCTGTGGACAGGGGCTGTCTCTGAGTGGTGGGACTGCACGCGGATTGCCTCCTTTCTAATTTCCAGTAGTTTCCAAATGTTCAGTCTGTCTGGATAATAGAGAAACACAATTGATGAGCCACACCAAAGATATGGTCCCCCAAAAGATGCCCTGGAACTTGGGAATATGTTACCATGTGTGGCAAAAGGAATTCTCAGATATGATTAAATTAAGGATCTTGAGATGAGGAGATTATCCTGGATTAAACAATGGGCCCTAAATGTCATCTTGAGCTTCCTTAAAAAATAGAGCAGAGGGACATTTGACTAGAGAGGAGACCAAGAGACAATGGAAGCAGAGACCGGAGTGATGCACTTCGAACTTGGAGATAGAGGACCATGAGCCAAGTAACTCGGGTGGCCTTTAAAAGCTGGAAAAGGCAAGGAAACATTTCCCTTGCAGCCAGCCTCCAGAAGGAACCCACCCTGCTGACACCCTGATTTTAGCCCCATGAGACCGATTTCAGACTTCTGATCTAAACTGTAGAGAACTGAAACGGTCCGTTTTAAGTCACTACATTGTGATGACGTGTGAAAGCAGCCACAGAACTAATACAGCTGGGAAGCAGCAAGTGTCTGACAGAAGCGGGGCCTGACTCCGTAGCACTCTGATCTCAACAAGGGACGGCAAAGCTCTCTGAGGTTCAAGTTCTCTCATCAGGAAAGTGGGGTGGCAGCTACCACACTGAAGTACGGCTGAAGGTAGGGCACTAGCCAGGGTGCTGTCACTGCCACCACGCGCACACACACATACTCACACTTTCACTTTGTTGAGAGCGGCTGGAAGCTGGTGAGGAAGGAAGAGTGTGCAGCAAAGGCTTAGCACAGCAGGAGGGGCTGTGAACACCCAGATGTGAAGAGCTTCCTGTGGAAAATAATTGGGGGTTGCGGTTGACCTCAAGTTCAATGTAAATTCAGTCAGCTGCCACTGCTCAGAGGGTCTGCAGACTGCAAGATGAGAAGTGCTAGTTCCAATGTAGAAATGGGGATTTCCAGGCAGCTAATTCCAGCTGTGTGTGTCCCGCCCTGTGCTATGGACACTGTCCCCAGCCAGACCCTGGGCCCACTGTCCTACCAGCTAGGTTGGAATGAGGGCTCCAGTGCAGATGGTTCCAGGAAGAGAGGCTCAGATTGAAGTAATTTGTCAATTCTCATCCCACAGTGGGCCCTGAGCTCTGATTTCTGGACTGTAAACTAACTGCCTTTATTTCTACTTCATTAAACAGGCCCGTCTGGTCACAGGGCAAGCAGCCCTGCTTTGGGGCATGTCCGCCATTCTGTACCGCAGCTTCCATCCAACACCTTCATGTTCTTATTTTCCCTTCACCTAAAACAGCCCGTGCAGTTCAGCTGCAAGACAGCTCCCAGTTTTCAGGCACAAAGTTGGTCTCCAGACACAAGGACACGATCTGGGTTTGAATTCTGCTTCTGCCACTTACTGAGGGCCCTGGGGCAAGTTACTCCTGAGTCTCTTCTCTATGCCTCCGTTTCCCCATCTGTAATGAGGACCACCCCCGCCCACTATGAAGAATAAACAAGGTCACAACTGAGAAACCAAGTGCCTGGCTCCGAGAGGGCATCCACGAGTCCTGTTTCCTCTTCCCTCTCCTTCAGGCCGTTTTAGTTCTCGAAGTGTCCTCAGGGAATCCTCTCCTAACCTGAGCCAGAGGAAACAGACTAGCTACCCCTCCCCAACTTCCACTGCTCCCTCTGCCTTCCGCGCAGACCCTTGTCTTTTGCTAGGTCTCTTCCTCCACACAGCCGTGTGTTTCTGGGGAGATGACCACAGGGCTGCCTGCACTATTGGTGGGGCTGCTTGGGTCTCCACTAGCTGCCCATTAGCACCTCCTGGGAGCGTTCAAAAGGTACACTGACCATTGCCAGATCAAAGATGGGGGCAGGACCCTGGCCTTGGCATTTTTACAAAGCTCTTCTGAGGGGTTCTGAGAAAGGCCTTTACTCTCCAGAGGCCACAGTAAGTGTCGGAGGCTCCAGGCCCACCGGCGCCCTGCCATGCACCAGAGCCCTTCTGGCATGAGAGAACACACCTGTCATTACAGAGCGACTTCGAGCTGGGTTTATTGTTAGCAGCCACCTACGTGTCTTGATTCTCAGGACCTCAGCTGCAGAGAGCTTTTGCTATTAATAAATTACAGCTAAAATTCTCCAAAAGAGCATTTATAGAAAGTTTGTTGCTTTTTATATTACAAAACCACAAGAAAAACTATGTTCTGTGGGGGCTTGTCTGGTTTAATGGTTCACCATTTATTAATTGCCTCATGTTTCCAAAACCTCAGATGGCAGCAATCATATTAACAGTGAACACGTGTTGATCAAGCCCATTCTATGTGCTTTAGATGATTCTTGCTCACTTACTCCTGAAAGCAGATCCATTTGGAGCAGGTCCACTTTACAAACTAGGAGAGTGGGGCCCAGAGAGGTTTCTAAGCCATGGTCCCTTGTCCTCAAGGCAGCCAAACATGGCAAATGTCACCTTCAGTACCAGGGCTCCAGGGCTGGGTCACATGTGGGGGCAGGGATGAAGCTCTTGCCCTGGCCTGGGTTCCAGGGAGCACATGCCTAAGCTGAGTGTTGAAGGATGTGGGATCAGCCAGGAGATGGAGAGGAGAGGCCTGGTGAAGGCAGAAAGAGGCTGAAACAGGTGTCCTTCGTGACTGGCTGTAGATGGGAGGCAGTGTGTGCGTTACAGGGTTACTCAGCAGGCCTGGCTTGTCCAAACCCTGAAAGTTCCAAACAAATGACTGGCTCTTGCCCAGCTCCTCAAGATAACCGCTAAGCCCGAGGGGGTGTCCTGCCTGATAGAGTGTCTTTAAGGTGGGGCCTTGGGCCATATGTTATCAGCTTGACCTCTGGAAGGGCTGGAGAAAGAGTAACACAGGTCAGTCACACAGGTGCTCCATGCCTATGTGACTTTTTTTTTTTTGACTGACCTTTAATGAAAACCCTGGGCAGCAAGACTTCCCTGGTGGACCACACTCTATACGTGTGGTCACACATCGTGGCTGGGAGGGTTAAGCGCTGTCCATGTGATTTCAATGAAGAGACAACTGGAAGCTCGCACCTGGTCTCTCTTGGACTCTGCCCTGTGCACCTTTTCCCTTTGCTGATTTTAATCTCTATCATTTTGCTGTAATTGTGAGTCTAACACAGCGGTTCTCAACCTGTGGGTCGCGACCCCTTTGGGGGTCGAACAACCCTTTCACAGGGGTTGCCTAAGACCATCGGAAAACAAAAAGATATTTATATTATGATTCATAACAGTAGCAAAATTACAGTTCTAGAGTAGCAACGAAAATAATTTTATGGTTGGGGGTCACCACAACATGAGGAACTGTATTAAGGGGTCGCGGCATTAGGAAGGTTGAGAACCGCTGCTCTAACAGCTTTCTTGAGTTCTGTGAGTCCTAGCAAACCACTGGACCTGAGGGTGTTCTTGGCTATCCCTGACTGATCTGTGTCTAGTGCCATGTATACACAGAGGGAAGAAGCTGGCAGAGCCACAAATGCCATGCTAATGGCTCAGACTTTATTTTGAGGGAGCCATGGAGGAACCTTAAGGCTGGGAAGGAGTAACACTGCCATGTGTATGTACAGGGATGGACTGGAGAGGTAGAGGCTGGAAGGAGGCTTGGTGATGGTCGAGGCCGAGAGCCCAAGACCTGAGCCAGAAGTCTGGGGACAGAGAACCTCAATTTGGGAAATGTGTAGGTTTGCACCAAAATAAAATAAAGTGATGGTTCTGTAGGGTCTGTCCCGGTTAACAAAGCCATCAACATCCAGGACCTTGGGAATTTCTCATATATGTGGCTGAACAAACACACGTCACAATGAGCTCTGACACAGGCGTTCCCACTTGGGACTACAGCGGCGAGCTCTCCTAAAAGAGAAGCTGATGGTGCTCGGGAGAAGCAGGAGGAAGAGAGACGGGAGAAATGGTGCTTTTCCTAGAAAAAGTGGAAGGCGTGCTTGGGCTTGGCGCTTTGGCCATCTGTAGTTCGCCCCTGGGGAATCTGAGGCCCAAAGTGAGAAGCACCTGCCTCGAGGTCACCCAGAGAGTTACTGGCTGAGCCGTCTGCCCCAAAAGACATTCATCCGCCTTCCCAGCCCAGGGGTATCGGAGAAAGACCCACCTGAGATTCTGACCTACGTACACAACCCATCCCCTGGCTGGGGACCAGGGTTATCTGCTGTCAACTCCAGCTTCACCAGGTTCACTCACCTTACCTTTATGTTTAGTTCTTTTGCCAATTCCAACTCCTAACTTTAATATATACTCAGCCTTACTCTGTACAGTGATGACAACACAGAAATAAAAAAAGGCCCATCCCTTAAGGGGTGGGGGGAGTCACAAGGAGTAAATAAATCCTTTGCAGTACAATGTTCATTCATACAACAAATATTTTCGAGCACCTATGTAGAGGCACCGTTCAAGGCCCTGGAAATACAGCTGTGAACAAGACAGAGGCATCCCTGATCTCATGGAGCTTACAGTCCAGCAGGGGAGACAGCCAGGAAAACAGAAGCCACAAAGAAATCACGTATCATGTTGGAAAAGGCTAAGCACGAGAAACAAAAGAGAAAGTAGGGCAAGGAGAGGGGATTAGGTAGGGGTGGTGTGGGGGAGGGGATCAGCTGAGGCACACTGGAGGCAAGAGGGGGGAGCCAGAACAAAGTCTTTGGGTGGGATGATGACAGCAGGCGGCCAGTAGCTGAGGGGCAAGTATCATTGTCACCGAGACCTGGGACCCTCCTTCCCTATCCTTAGATATCTGAATGGGGGTGTTTGGGAACGAATATGGGAGGACATAAGCCTTGGACCAAGAGGAAAGAAAAGATGAAGAAGTTGTCGGTGTGGTAGACGAAATAATGGCTCCCGTATTTGTCCACGCCCTGACCCTGTGAATATGTTGAGCTCACTGGCAAAAGGGATTTGCTGATGTGATCAAAGGATCTTGACATGGGGAGATTAGCCTGGATTATCTGCCTGGGTCTTAAATGGCATAAGGAGACAGAAGAGGAAAGGCAGAGTGAGATGTGACCATGGAAGACCTTTTGAAGAGATGCTATGCTGCTGGCTTTGGAGACAGAGGAAGGGCCACAAGCCAAGGAATGCACGTGGCCTCAAGAAGCTGGAAATGGCAAAAAATAGAATCTCCCCCAGGTTCTGAAGAAATACAGCCCCGTGCATCCATTTCAGACTTCTGGCCTCCAGAACCATCTGTAAGAGGATACATTTGTGGCGTTTTAAGCCACAAAGTTTGTGGTAACTTTTTACAGCAGCAACAGGAAATTAATCCAGGGGTGAGGGAGAAAGAAAGAACAGGATGGAACTAAATCTAGATAAATGGACGGGAAACACATCCTGGGGTTGTGATACAGGCCAAATGAAAGGGCATCACATTACAGAAACTCTAAGTTTTCTGTTTCCTAGTGTTTTGGCTCTGTAGCCCCTGATTATAATCATTTTTCAAATCAGTTTCTTAATCATAAATAATAGACTGTTTTTAACCTGAATCATAGAAATCTCCTACCCCCTGCTTCAGATAATTGCCCTAAAGTTTGTGATTAATGTCTATTGACTATGGTCATTGTAGCACAGCGTTCTTTCCAGGCCCAGTTCCTGGGTGAACAATAACTGAATGACCAGTTAAACCAGAAGAAAGGCCAGGCTCCACGAAGCTGAACAATTTTTCATCACACAGTCACCCTGTGTCAATGGCTTTGAGTCCTGCTTCTTGGGCCAACACTTTTAACTCTGTTAGCTAAAACCTATCTCTCCTCATCTAGGGGTTGTAGGGACACAAGTGATATCCCAACAAGACTTCCAGCGCATCCCAACCACAG